AAGTTTCATATTCTTCCATTTTGGTCATTTTTCGTTCATTTTCTCATACTCTTCATTCCATCCATCAATGTAATCCTAAAATCACAAATTATATCGGATTAAGCCATATTTCAACATATACATCAACAATTTTCCATGTTTTGTGACCTAAATAAGTGTGCAAAACACACTTATCAAATCCCCCAAACACACTTATGGAAGAAATACATTATGATCCCCAATTCATATGTAAATTCTCATTTTTTTTGTCATCTCATCAACACAAGAATACAAGAGAAAGTATATTGAAGAGAAACATCCAAAATCCACAATTAAGAATCAAGAAGAATGATTTGAGTAATTAAATTGAAGAACAAGACAATTAAGATAATGGAGCAAGAAGCCAAAATCAAGATAAAGAACCAAAAAAGTCAATAATCAAGATTCAAGATCCGAAATTAAGATCCAATAATAAAGAATCATTCTCAAATAATTAAGGTATGTTTCGCATTATTACTTTTTTGGTGATTTGACATGGAGAATTTTGGAAATAAAGGAATTTGGGTTTTTTAAGTTCTAAAGTTTCTAGTTTTATAAAGTTTAAAATTTCATAAAAATTTAACAAGTGGTATCAGAGCGAACTCCATGTTAAACAATTGGGATTAAATGAAGAATTTTAAGGTTGAAATTCATATATTGAGTTTTGGAATCTTTTAATTTGGAATATGAATTTTAGCTACAAATTTCGAAATTCGGAATTTTTCAAGAAAGAATTTTGGTTTGAAAGTCATAGTTTGGATTTTCCAATTTAGGATATGAATTTTAACCCTAAAATTCAAAAATTCAAATTTTTTGGGATTTTTAGAAAATTTTGGTTCCAAAAGGGCAACCGAGTCCGGGCCTAGTGCCGCAGAGCCCGGATGGGGCGCTACCTGGGCGTACTGTTTCGAGCGCTGCAATGCTGGTTTCTTGTTCAAGTGTATAATTTATTTATTTTTTTGGCAACAAAAGAGAAATAAAAATAAAATATAAAAAGACCAATATTACCTTGGTTTAACAAAACCATATATATTGCCAAATATGATGAAGTACCTATTAACATCGAAAATGTTAAAGGTAATACTACTATACCTCTAATAACCAGAGAATGAGTTAATAAAAAATTAGCTAAGATAAAACCCTCAACTAGAGAAAGATTAAAAAAATATTGTGATTGGACGAGTACAAATAATGGTTAAAGGATACTTTAGAGAATGAATGGATATTCCTATACAAATGTACTTGATGGATAACAGAATACTTCATGATCCTATGGATGTTTTATTAGGAGTTGTATCTGGAAATCTAGTATATAAGAAAATTATATTTACTATAAGACCTGTATTTGCCACGTCTTTATTAGATGAAAACTTAAGTCTGAGATTAAATCTATATTATAAAATTGATAGATTAATTATGCCACCAAGAAGTAAAGCAGTAACTTTACATTGTAAAACTTTATATGCTTTTACTACTACACACCAAAAAGAAATCAATAAAGTCTCAGGAGACTTCATACAAATCCATG